TATATGTAGTAGAGGTCTTTATGTTGCTGTGATGCTGAGTAAGTTTAGTGGAACTTCCAGACTAAGAAGGATTAAGAAAAAAGTCCTAGTGCTCTACATCCCAAAATCAGCCAATTAAAAATACATCCACAACATAGAAAGAAGTTCTTCAAATAAGAAAATCAACAACTCAACAGACAGTGAGACAGAGGCACTGCACAAAAGAATGTTCTAAGGACCAATAAACATTAGGAAAAATTCAGTTCATTAGTAATAATGAGATATAAATTAAAATCAAATTAAAGTTAGATGCTTTACATAGTCACCAAAGTCAGTGAAATTTTAAAAAGCAATCATCTTAAGTAGTGGTGAAGATGAAACACAATGGGCGTCCACTCACACACTGGCAGGGAAGGGAATTGACAGGACTCTGGAATGTAAGCAACAGTGTCTACACAGTGACCTTGACTGCGGCTCAGCAGATCTAGGCTCAGTCCTACTCCGTAGAGACTTAGCACAAAGCTGGGCAAGTAGGCATCAAGAATATCCATAGCAGTAGAATTTTTAACAGTCCAAAACTGGAAACAACTCAGTGAAATATGTGCAATTCTGGTATATTAATAAAATGGAATTCTGTTAAGTAATCACAGTGAACAAACTATAGCTGATGCAAAGCATGGGTGAACAGCAAAATGTTGAACACACAAAAAAAGCCTGATACAAAAAAAACAACCACAGTACCTGTTTGAACATCTATGAATACAGAGTTCAAAATTGCAGGCCAAACACAGTTTTTAGGGGTTACATACTTAAGTGGAAAAAACGATTTTAAAAAAATTGTGATTACATTAAAAGTTAGGATACTGCTTACTTACCTTCTTGAGGCGCAGTTAGAAGGAGGTGTGATGGGGTCGTCTGAGGGCTGGCAGTGTTGTGTTTCCTAACTTGGGTGCTTGTTTTGTGATAGGTCTTATTAGATCAGTAGACTTTGGTTTTGTACACTGTTTTATGTGACTGTTAACTTTTACAATTATAGGAACGTGTGCAGTGCTAGAATTTTTTTAGCTCTCATGGAAGCAAACCAGCCTTTTTATTATATTTACATTATTTTTTAAAATTGACATACACATTTTCTGGAATGCATTATATACTGCGGTGGGAAACAAGGATACTCTATTGTCTCTAGGCTAGGTAACTGTCAGAGTGGTTAACATTCAGCTCTCAAGGTAGGAGTAATCAGATATGGCAGGAAGCCACAGGAAATTGCCCTGGTAAAGTCTAAGCCTACTGCGTATCCCTCCCACTCCCCCAGCCTTTTTTTTAAAGTAATAACAAACTTTGCCTTACCAGGATTTAAAGAACCATTGGCCCTTGGGTGCTATGTAGGTGTGCAGCCATACCCAGACTTCTACAGGATGATTGGTTTTAGAAGACCACTTGGGAACCTCAGACATTTGCAAAAGACTAAAATGTCCCACAACCCATTTTATTTTATTGTACTACTGGCTAAGAGGCAATAGTCATAGATGTATTCTCTCTCTTAAAGTTTTAATAGCTTTGCAGTGATTTTCTCAAATGGTGTAAGCATGCTAACATGTTAAATCTAAATAATGACGATTTTTCAATTTCTTCATAAGTGCTTTTTTCCCCAAAATCAGGAATGGGTATTGCCTTTTCTTAAATTGCAGTTTAGCACTTTTAAAGATGGTCACATTGATTACTCTGACATTTTAAATATATGAACAGGTGTTCTAATACAAATCAAAGTTTATGCATATATGATAAGAGCTCATTAATGTTGTGGTGAGTTATTCCTTTAATACTCTGTGTAATTTTAGTTTTTAGTGTCACAATAGCTAAGACAGCATGGATTCTGAAGTCAGATCCACATTTGAATTCAGCTTCTTTACTTAATAGCCATATGACTTTGAGGAAGTTAACGTAACTTTTCTCACCTTGGTTTTCTCATCTATAAAATGAGGATGGTAATGTTGTTGTTAAGTGCCGTTGAGTTGGTTCTGTTCCATAGCGACGCTGTGTAGGGTTTCCAAGGAGCACCTGGTAAGCTTGAACCACCAACCTTGTGGCTCACACTGACTTCACTGTCCAGTGCATTAAGCCCTTGGTTAATTACCACACCAGGATGGTTATCACCACACCAGGATGGTGATAGTACCTGTTAAAGAGAAGATTTACTGCTTCGGAAACCCTATACAGGGTCACTATGAGTCGGAACTGACTCCACGGCACATAACCACTGCCACCAGAGAAAGAATACATAGTTGATTCTCATTATTTGCTGTACTGTTCTATAAAGACGCTGCAAACACTACATTAGTGAATTCTGAGCCATTATCTCTAGGGGAAATAGACGGTTATGTTCATCAATTGGTCAGTACATAATCTTATGTGTTTTTTTTAAAAAAGGCATTTAATATGCATGCTCCCTGGGTAACTCAACAGGTTAGTTAAATACTAAACTACTAACCAAAGGTTGGCAGCCTGAACCTACTACCCAGAGGCGCCTTGGACAGGCCTGGTGAACGGCTTCTGAAAGGTCATAGCCTTGAAAAGCCTATGGGGCAGTTCCACTCAGCACACTTGGGGTCACCATGAGTCGAAATCAACATTAAGGCAACTAACAACAACAGCATTTAATGTATATTGTTGATTCAGTAACAACATTGGACTCATGGCCTACAACACGATAAGCCATGCCTGAATGAAGCTAATCTGCCACACGTTTTCTCCCTGAGGCCTAGTATTGCTTTCCCATGCTGAGCAACTCTCCACATGTCACCACTATGCTTGGGGGCCATTTTCCACAGTGATCGACAACAAAATGTGACACTACAGAGACAAGTGCCCCAACTGGGCACTTACTTGCACTGTGAAAACTGAAGCAAGAAGGCAGAGTGTTACGCTGTTCAGTCTCTACTAGAAATGTGTGTGTCAGATGAGGCCAGTTGTCCACCGTATGTCTGTAAATGACTGGGAAAGCACTTCAAGTATTAATTTTGGGGGTGTGACTACATTCTAGCACTGTCCACGGTGCCAGGTACATAGTGAATGATTAGCTTAAAAACCATAGTCAGTATGTTTTCATTATTACTTTAGCTAAAATTGTTTATGAATGTTAGATTTGAATATGACTAATTCTAAATACAGTAAGATGGGTAGATGTCTTTCGGTGTTCTGCACCAATATATGCAGCACTAGAAAAATCTAAGTCTTGAAAGTAAATGAACCCATTGGCAAAGCGAGACCCTTTTTTTTCTGAAGTAATTTCTGTAATTTTTTTCTCTATGTTGTGGTCTCTATATGTTTCTATTTCTTCAAAAATGAACTTTGATAACATTATTTTCATAAAATAGCCATTTAAATTTCAAGTGTATCAAAAAGCATAAAATCAGATAAGCTAGATCCGTGCCCCACGCCCACCAAACATAGAACACAGAAACCAGTCCAGAATCAAGTATAAGAATTTCAGAAGCTTAATATTTTGAAAATTCAGTTCCCTTATTTCTTTTCACAGCGAAATGCATTGTTCTCAGATCCCAGGATTTCATATAATATATACAAAGGGGCTTCAGAAACTTGATGGAAAATTAGAATTGAAAGCTAATGGAATTTCTCCACAAACTTTTTGGAGCCCTCTCATGCATACCACCACACACATACACAAGGAGCTCTGGTGGCATAGTGGTTACCAGTCGAGCTGCTAACCTCACGGTCAGCAGTTTGAAACTACCAGCTGTTCTGCAGGAGAAGGATGAGGGTTTCTGCTCCCACAAAGATTTACAGCCTCGGAAACCCTAATACAGGGTTGCTATGGGTCGGAACCAACTCCGCAGCCCATAATCAAATCAACAACACACATATACTTGCATTGTGCACATATATGTGTATTGTTGATTTGATTGTCCACGTTGCCAATAGCAGAAATAGAGCAGATGAAAACATTCGTGTTACCTAGAACAAGGTAAAAAATACAGGGAGAGAAAAGATTTCAGTTTGATTCACTATCATCGCAGTTGATCAAGTTTTCTAAGTCCACCATCTTTGAATTTATAATTCATTTCAGAAGACATTCCGTGACCAACATGAACTTGTCATGAACTTATCATGTGGGATAAGGGCTCTCTGAATGCGATACTGGAAAGAATGAAGCTAAGACCTGTGCTGGCCAATACTAGGAGGTCTCAGAAAGTTCATGACAAACTGAAATTAAGACAGTTCAATCTTTCCCCACACTTTCTGAAGCCCCTTCTTACAGTAGGTACTAGCCATATTTGACTTTACTACCAATTTAAAAGTCAGTAAAATTAAGAATTCAGTGTTGTAATCATACTAGGCTTATTTCAAATATTCAGTGGCTACACGTAGCTTTTTAAATTTAACTGAAATTAAATCATGCTTAACAATCCATACCTTAGTCACAGTAGTCACATTTCAAGTGCTCATGATCACATTTCAGTGCAGATAAAACATTTCTATGATTGCCAAAAGCTCTTAGGGAAAATACCTCACTAAACAAAGCGCATCATGCTTCACCAAGAGCCTCATTATCAATGCCAAAAACAATGGGAGATTTGGACTACTTGTCCTGATTCCGTGAGTCAGTTATCTACGTAGAGTTATAATCTATTCTCTGAACTCTTAAGTTGGTAACTACTATTTTAAAGATTATACATAATCCTGTTAAAACAATTTATTTTTCGAATCAAAATATTCTTATCTAAATAGATGCCTCATCTATTTTGAGAATGAAGAATACAATGCAATTGTAGTACGTGCTGAGAGCTCCCTGAAGGTGTGCTCACATTAAGTTATTAGTCTTTCAATCGGACATGAAAGCAATTTTTCAATTTTGATACATGTAAATTTTGTAGCTCTTTCATAGTAAAATAATTTTTATGTTTCTGTGCTTTTGCAGATTCTTTATTATAAGATCTCTACATAAGAACTTTGATACAATTTTGAGTATAACCTGTGTTTTTTTCTCTTGGATTTGTTTATAGGTTCGCAAAGATTCAAATCAGTGTATCTGAACCCATTATTCCATTCAGAGAAACGATCACAAAGCCCCCAAAAGTTGACATGGTCAATGAAGAAATAGGCAAACAACAAAAAGTTGCAGTCATACACCAAACAAAAGAAGATCAAAGCAAAATTCCTGAAGGCATCCAAGTTGACCCTGATGGGCAAATCACCATATCAACTCCCAATAAACTTGCCACACTCAGTGTTCGTGCCATGCCCCTTCCAGAAGAAGTCACTCAGATTCTGGAAGAAAATAGTGATTTGATTCGTTCTATTGAGCAATTCACATCCTCTTTGAATGAGGGCAGAAATACTCAGGTGATTCACCAGAAGACCCAAGAGAAAATTTGGGAATTCAAAGGAAAACTAGAGCAACACCTAACAGGGAGAAAATGGAGGAACATTGTTGACCAAATCTGGTCGTTTGGCCCAAGAAAATGTGGTCCCAACATTCTAGTCAATAAAAGTGAAGATTTTCAGAATTCAGTGTGGCCAGGTCCAGTCAGCAAAGCTTCAAAAGAAACCACTAAGTACCGAGATTTGGGCAACAGCATCGTAAGTGGCTTCCAGCTAGCAACTCTCTCTGGCCCCATGTGTGAGGAACCTCTCATGGGTGTCTGTTTTGTTCTGGAAAAATGGGACTTAAGCAAATTCGACGACCAAGGTGGAAGTGATAAACAGAATCAAGAGCAAAGTATTCTGGGAAAAGAGGTGCAGAAAGCGGGTGAAAAGCATTCCAGCGGAGCTGAAAGCCAAGAGCTTCAAGATGGTTGCCCTGAGCGCTTTGAGAAGCATACTGCCCAGAAAGGAGAAACTTCTCTCAGTGATTGCTATGGCCCCTTATCAGGGCAGCTCATTGCCACCATGAAAGAAGCGTGTCGCTATGCTCTGCACGTGAAACCTCAGCGCCTGATGGCAGCTATGTACACATGCGACATCATGGCCACCGGTGATGTTCTCGGTAAGGAAAGGAAGGGGACAGTCACCTAGATCAGAAAACTTAAACCTTTCTAATACTTTCTGCAGAAGCTACATTATCTTCTAATTTATTATATTAAAGGAGTGCTGGATTGCTTACCAAAAAGTTGGTGGTTCAAACCCACCAGCTTTGCCTTGGAGCCCCCGTACTGAACTGACTTGAAGGCACTTAGCCACAAGATCTTAAAAACCAGGGGCCTCAGATATTAAAATCTTGAAGGGTGAAACATCTGAGTACTAAAGATATTTTGCAACAGATGGGAAAAAATCTTTTCCGTAAGGAAAGGTGCGGTGAATTAGGTTTAAATTGCCTGTTTAACATAAGATATATGTTGCTCCCTCACCTGGGTAGCAGTTTTTCACACGTGATAACTGTATCGGTCTGGAAAACCAAAGTGATTTGGAAAATGATCAAGGAGTAAGGCGACATTCTTGTACTCAGCACAAAGGGGCTTTTGTGAATTCTGGGTCCCTTCTAAAGAAAATTATTTGGGACTTCATTCATTACTATTATATCAAATCCCTATCTCTTGATGAGATGCAGCATGGCCTTAGGAATCTTAGAAGACAAGGAGGTCTGACACTCAGTAGCTAATCTGACCTTTGGTAGATAACGACTTCAGTGAGAATTCTTTCCTTCACCTATGAGAAAGAGCATAAGAGGTTGTGAGGAATAAAAGGAGAACACAGAAATGGTGTCTAGAGCAGTGCCTGGCACACAGTAGTTCTCTTTTCCTTGAGATCCTGGACCTCTTTCAGGGGAAAGGAAGACAGGAAGGGTTTGAACACTAAATGAGGGAGTAAACCAAATGATGATGTTGCTCTAACCCTGTCACCCTGTGAGTCAGAGTGTGGTTCTTTGTTCTTTTTAGTAAGCTCTTCTGCCCATTAATTCTTTAAAGCAGAAACCTGAGCTTTTTTAAAAAGAAATCTTGGCTTACGTCACAGTAAAATCCTATGAGACAAATTGATCATCCATAGCAGCTTTTCAAAAAAAATCTGGATGAAGTAAAGTTATATGCATAAGTTATATATGTAAGTTATATACATCTGGCTCCTCTATGGCTTCTTAAAGCTACTACTATGCCAGTGTAGAATGGGAGTTGAATTTCCAAATATGGTGTTTGATATAGTGTTTCTCAGCCTTTGTTAATACATCTCATGGAATTTGATCCATTTGAGGAACAGCAATCTAGATCATTCTCAGATGTTATTCTTTATGCTTGTCAAGAACTTTAAGAAGGCACAATTAGAATTGGAATCCAGCAGTCTGGATTCCTTGGAAATCCTTAGGAAAGACTTCAGAGCTCATCTGCAAACTTTCCTGCCCTGCCAGATGCCTGGTCCCCTCTGTTTGAGTACTTGCAGTGATGGTCAGCTCACACCACTGCTGTGATTAGGCAGTGTTGTCCCATAGTGAACAAAACGTTCCCTGCTCCAGGAAGTAGCTATCTCCCACTAGCCATACCGCTTCCGTGCACTATCATTCACATGTGTGAGGACAGCGCTGATTCTTTAGTTTCATATGCTAAAGAAACCCCTCCAGAGCCTTTAGTTACTTCTCATAATGATGTGATTTTCAGGCCCTTTCAACCATCCAGCTGCTGTCCTTGTACAGACTTCATTTGGTCAGCGTCCCTTAGAGATACAGCAGCCATATTTGAACACCTCAGATACCATAAAGCCAGTGCAGAATGCAGACCATCCCCCGCACTTGTAATACAGCATTCATTTTGTAATTGCATCTTATCATTAGTTCACTTGGGGGGTCAGGAACTACTTTTCCCACCCCTTTATTTTTGTTTTTTCACTCTTTTCCCAAAAAGTAGAATCCAGCCTTTTTTTTTTTTTTAAGTAATTGACAAGATTGTAGAAATTATGTAGTAGATACCACAAACTCCTATGGAGTTCTGGTGTGGCGCCGCAGGATAATACACTGTGGGTACAAGGTAGGTGGTTCAAACTCACCAGCTGCTCCTCAGTAATCCTATACAGTGTCGTTGCGAGTCAGAACCGACTTGACAACACTTAACAACCACCACCACAAACTCCTGTAGTTACTTTTGAGTAACTGAGGCAGTACAATTGATTTTTTCAGATTATACAAGGGGGCTTTAAAAAGTTTATGGAAAAAACCCATTGTCATTTCATTCCATTCCCCTCTCACCCCCCACCCCGAGCATTTAGAAGGCCCAGGTATGTATGTAACATGGCAAGCAGGCCAGAAGTCACAATGCAGCCATCTTATAGGTTCCCTGTTCTCACTTTCTCATTTATACTTTGTTTGGTATGAAATGAAACTCAACACACAGGGAAATTAATGTCCTTCATGTCCATGTGATTGTTAAGTGCCCTGGAGTCAGTTTGACTCATAGCTACTCTGTACAGGATTCCCAAGGAACGGCTCGTGTGTTTGAACCACCAACCTTATGGTCCAGTGCTTTAACATTCTCCTGATTGCCAGTTTAGCAACCATGTTGGGAAAAGAAAAAAGGTTAGGTGGTTAAGATTTTGTGTAAATAAGCCCATATCATCCCCAAAGGGTTTCTTCATGCTTGTGTAATAGGAACCAGTCCTTACAATATATATATTTTTTTTTCATTCTAAAATTCTCTAGGAAATTGGCATAAGACTTTTTAGCCTACTGTTCATTTGGACCCCTTTTTTTAACCGAATTTTTTCAGTCACCATGTATCATTTACTGAGTCTGGCACGTAGTCCACTATCCTTAGCTTCTTTGTCTCTGTACACATAATTCTGGTCCTGGAGACTTGGACCCTGGTTTAAGAAAGCCAGGTTCTTGATGATCAACTTCGCCACTATCTTGAACTTCATTATTCTATTGTGTTTGTACTATTTGCTGTGGATTATTCATTGTTCCTACTGGAAAGAATGGAGATGGAGAGGAACCCTTGCTTTCTTGCTGACCTACTAAAATTATATAGTCTTCTCTAACTTGTGGTAGTGTAGTGGTTACAAATCGGGCTGCTAATCTCAAAGTCAGCAGTTTGAAACTACTAGCCATTTCACGGGAGAAAAATGAGGCCTTCTGCTCCCGTAAAGATTGACAGCCTGAGAAACCCTGTGCAGCATCGCTATGAGACGGAACCAACTCCAGGGCACACTACCACCACCACCATAGATACTTCCAAGAAGCCTGGAAGGCACAGTAGGTTAAGCACTGAGCTGCTAACCAAAGGTCAGCAGTTCAAGCCCACCATACACTCCTTGGGAAAAAGATGAGATTGTCTGTTTGTGTAAAGATCTACAGGGCAGTCTGGCTATACTTCTTCCAAGATAGATTTATTAGTCAAATCTATCATTCTGAGGCATCAGGTTTTCTTAACTCTTCCTTATTCATTGTCCAGCTTTCTCATGCATATGAGGCAGTTGGAAATACATGGCTTGGGTCAGGTGCACGTTAATCCTTGAAGTGATATCTTAACTCTTTAACACTTTTAAAAGATCTTTTGCAGCCGATTTGTCCAGTGGAATCCATGGTGTGATTTCTTGACTGCTGCTTCCAAAAGTGTTGATTGTTGATCCAAGTAAAATTAAATCCTTAACAGCATCATTCTTTTCTCTGTTTGTCGTGATGTTATTAGTCCAGTTATGAAGGTTTTGTTTCCTTTATGTTGAGATGTAATCCATATTCGAGGCTGTAGTCTTTGATCTTCATTAGTAAATGCTTCAAGTCGTCTTTCTTCCAGCAAGCAAGTTTGTATCATCCGTATATTTCAGGTTGCTAATGAATCTTCGGACAATCTTGACGTCACATTCTTCTGTATATACCCAGTGTTTTGCATTTTCTCAGCATACAGACTGAATAAGGTGAAAGATTGCAACTCTGCAGCACACCATTCCTGATGGTAAATCTCACAGTATCCCCTTGTTCTATTTGAACAACTGCCTCTTGGTCTCTGTCCAGGTCCCACATGAACACAATTGTTCTGTAATTCCCATTCTTCACAGTGTTACCTATAGTTTGTTATGACCCACACAGTCGAATGCCTTTGCATAGTCAATCTACTCAAAATAATGGGAACACTTAACTACCAGAATTTCCATATCGTCTACATGATGCATTTAGAGTGATAGTCGTCCTTTATTATCTGAGAGGACAAGTTTTCAGCTCAACATGTGAAGCCAGGATCAGCTGTTGGCATTTATCAGACTGAAATTCAGCAAACTGTTGAGTCACCCTGTGAGTCACTCATCTATCCCCATTTCCTTGTTTCTGTTGGGAAATCAGGAGCTCTGGTGGTGAAGTGGTGCAGTGTTCGGGCAGCATTTCAAGCTTTCCAGCTGCTTCATTGGGAAAAAGCAGTGGCAATCTGCTTCCCTTGAGGTTCACAGCCGCGGAAACTCTGTTGGGCAGTTCTACTCGGTCCTGTAGATTCATTATGACATGGAATTGACTCACCATCAACAGATTGCTTTGTTTTTTTAGGACATCGCCACCTGGACCCTGAACCTGACCAGGCATCCCTAGGACAGCTGTGTGTATATGTCTCTCACACTCTGTGGGTTGGTTAATAGACAGCTATCTACCTCACTAGTCAGCTTTCTTAATACATTTCCCTGAAACACCGAGTAGCTCACTACTGCCCTCCAGAGACACTGTGTGTAGATTTGATCTGGATTTTGTTTTTTCTGATGTGGTTTGAAGATCTTTCACTTTGACACAAGAATGTACTCATTACTTAGGATGGGCTCTTTGGTATTGATAGCCAGTCTCTTAAGATGAACCTAGAGAGTTGTTCACACCGCATGCTTTCTTATTTCTTTCTAAATCAACTGGAAAGTCATGAAGAGACCATATTTGTCCCCAAGGCCTTCTAATTCCTGCAGAGATCTTCAGTGATCTTCCAAGAAGACTTTGTGGTTCTTCCTTTAAAATTCTCTTATGAATTGACACAAGTTGATTTCAAATCTTTTTTTATTTAGTAATTAATGACTTTTAAATTTTAATTATTTCTATAC